TCAGCTGTGGAATAAAAAGAGCTGCTAAAAGTATAAACAACTGTGTTAAATCATTTTCATTTATTCAGAAGCCGCAGCGCAGCGCTGCGCACCGTTGCTGTGATGGCCCTCCCCAGACTTGGAACCACCAAGACGAGAATCAAGACTACTTATAAAAAGACAAATGGGTGAGTCTGAAGCAGCAGAGGTATTTTAAAAAAATGAAAGGATGGTGTGGAACTATAAAAAAATTTGAAACCAATTTTATTGACATAAAAACATTTAAAAACAACAACAATTTTAAAAAAAGTGGGTGTTAAAATCTGAAGCGCAGCTGCCTTGGAATTTTTAGTCATTTGGTTTCTTGGACGTTTTCCTTCGGGTCATCCGAACTTTTTGAGGTGTCGCCACAGCCTCCTTGATGTTTGCGAGTAGACCCCGCTTGGCTTTCACAGGAGGAGACTTCTGGGAGATCTCGGCAAGTTGATCCTTCAACAGAGCAATCTCCTGGTCCTTCTCAACATTCTGCTGCAGGACATCCTGCATAGACTGTGACTGCAAGTGGAAAAAGGGGATTAAAAAAAGTTCAACATTTTCCATTAAATAGTTCAACATTTGAAAGCGTTGCTCAGCTGAGGGGAAAATAAGTTTTTGAAAATCCAAGCAAAAACATAAAGACACCTTTGCTGAAAAAGCCTCAGCTTACAAACATCTCCGGAGGGGATTGGGCCGACTCTTTTCAAAAAGTTATAAATCCTTTAGGTTTCTTGGCTAATGTTTGGCAACTTGATTAACATGCTTCTTCGGCCTCTTATTGGCTTGGCGGTGACATMCAATGCAGTGAAATTGGTCAGCTAGGAATTGTTTGTTTGGGTTCAAATTCAAAAGCTCTCTTCAAAAATAGCTGGTCACATGGATATTAAAAGAATTCATTCAATGTTGCAGGTGCTGAGATTTCAGTCCAGTGTGGCACGTTACCAACTGTGGTCCCAGCTGACTTCAGGCAGCTCCTCCTGTGAAATTTGTTAGCGGATACTGAACCTCATGAGGAAGCCTTATTTACATTGCCATGGTTAAGAAAAAAAATCCTCTTCTGAYTTTGATTAGTAAACAACTTATATGCTTTGCTATGCATGACTTAACAGTAGGGAGGGGTAATATTTCAGTTTTATATGAAGAAATACTGAAAACGATTGTGGTTGTATATTTTTAAAAATTTGTT